GCCTGGCACTGCTTGGCATTACTTGGGGCAACCAGGGGCTGTGAAAACCTAGGGAACCCGAGGAACTTATAGGAAACGGGCAACGTAACAATAGGAGGCGCCGGGGGCGGGGAACCCGAGGGGGACCTCCGAGCAATGGGCAAAGTAACAGTAGGGGGCACCAACTTTTAACCAAATAAGAACCCATTAGGCAAGCCTGGTTGGGGAATTTGGAAGGCATGTTGGGCCGCCATGGAAGCTCAATAAGAGCCATCTTGGGCGCTTTGGGGGCATATTGGGCCATCTCGGCCATCTTGGAGACCTTCTTGGGGCCATCTTGAGCGGGAAAGCCGACAGAGGCAATTTTTTCTGGGCGGCCTGGATGGGCAAATGCCCACTGGAAACTTTTTGTAATGGCCAGAAAGAGCTCGACAATTGCTGACGCTGCGCGTTTCCCCACCAGCGTTCCGTTGCCTGGCTCGAGCCATCTCACGGGCCTGGCCCCCCCGGGCCAGTCTCCCGTGCTCAAGGGGGCGCCCGACGCTGCGCCACGCCCGGGCCCGCGGAGCGCCCGCGCCATTGCAGCTGCCCCCCTGGCGCGCCGCCCGCGGCGCAGCTGGCCCCCCTTGCAGCAGGCTGCGCCCCCCGGCGGGCTCCTCGGCGCTTCGGCCAGATGGAGGGCGGGGAAAGATCGATCTGACAATATCGAGGGGGGCGGGGACCACTCAGTGCAGGGCGCGGGAGCCCAGTCACTGGCCACGGTCGAACCCCCTCAGACGCCAATCAGGTTCAGATCCCCCACAGACAGCAGCCCCCCTCCCCCATCGGGGCAGACCAGGAGCCAGCACCAGTGGCGACCACGGCGCCCCCAACGGCGGTGCGCAGCGATCCTGAACCAGCCCAGATGCATCGCCCCTCGGGGCGCGGGGGCAATCCAGAAGGGGACGAGGCGAGGCGACAAACCCCCAGGGACGCTCTCGAACCCCCTCGAACGCCCTCGAGCCACCTCGGCGAGAGCGGCGGACTGGATGGGAACGAAAGGGGCATGGAGACGGATGTCCAGGTTCGGGAGTGTCCTGTCTCGACTCCCCCCATCCCCGCCCCAGACCCCATCTCGATCCCTGTCCCGCTCACGCCCCCCCCCTCCCCCCGCCTCGGGGCCGCTCAGGATTCCTCGCCACCAGCAGTAGGGACCATCCAACTCCCTGAGGCTGACAATGGCGGCCCAGGGGGGCTCCGAGAGGCATCAGATGAGGTGGGCCCCAGGGGGCGCCAGGAGGGGGCGCAACAGCTCGCAGCTGCGGAGGACGTTGCCCACCCCCCCAGAGAGCACGCGCCTGCATCTCCTCAGACAGTGGCGAGCCACACCCCCGAGGTGCAATCTGGCGACGGAGACGGAGGCAACCACCAACAAATAGTGACTCCAGCGGCGGTTAGGTGCACCCCCAATGCGAATGGAAGAGTGAACTCAGCGGCGGTTAGCTGCACCCCCATCACCATGAGAGAGAGTATTCTGCGGCGATTAGCTGCACCCCTCTTCAACGCACAACTCAGGATCAGTGCGTGCGAACACCCAGGGTGGACGCTCCGAGGGGCCTCGAGGCCTACGAGAGCGCCCACCTCAGGAACACATTGGATCAGGGCCGCATCAGCTCAGGGGAAGCGCTGTCCGCCCCCCCCCCCACCCTGCCCCCCCCCTGACTCGCTCCCGGCCCCCCCTCCCATGGCAGGTGCAGGCGCGGCGCGCGCGCCCAGCCAGGACCACGCCATCTCCCCCGCGCCCCCCTTCCACCCGATCGAGCCTGAAGGCCCACGGCAGCCCCAGGAAGAAGTCGATTAGGAGTGACTTCTCGAGGCTCGCGAGTCCAATGGAAGCACCACCGATAGCGACGCGTTCAGCGCTTGGGGGGACCCCAACGCGATCGAGGACAGATCGGACCCTGCCGCCCGAGATCGCCCGATCGCCCCTCCCCCAGGTCTCCCCTCGCCACTACCGCCAGGCCCAAGCCAACGCAGTCGGGAGGGGCAGTCGGACGACCCGGAGCACTGGCGGCACCGCCCGTGGAGCTCAGACGGGGAACGCTCGCCAGCTAGGCTGGGGTCCCCTAACTACCGCTACGGCCCAGGTGCCAGTAGGCTCCAATACCACCCACGGCGATGCGGGAGCAGCGACGCGGATGTGCCCTTCTCGGCTCCAAGGGTCGCCGATCCGAGGGGCACCAAGAGAGGAGGCACTCTAGCAGCGCTCGTGGCACACCACGAACCTCGGGCGGGCCCATGGAGAGACCTTCCCAGGCGAACGGTGCGCAACCAAACGATGAGTCAGGGCCTCGAGAACCTGGTAAGCTTCTGCTGGCTCCGCCACCCCCCTGGCACCCCGGAGTCCGCACAGAACCCACCTCGCCGGGGGTGCTCCGAATCCTCTCAGTGCCGCACCTAATCGGAGGGCCCAGCTCGAGCAAGGAACCTCCCACCGATACTACGCCAGCGGCCCGGCACTGGCCCAGCTGGACCTTTCCTGGCTCGCATGGTCCATTCCAGGCTCCGACTACGAGGCGAGGCTGGGAGGTGTGGGCCCAGACCCAGTGCAGGTGCTGGCTTTCCGTTACGCTAGCCTGACCCAGGACCTTGCCATCGAGGCGGAGAGACCGGACTGCGAGGACCCAACCGATACAGAGCTTTACGCGGCCCACCTGGGATACGATGCCCTACACTTCGCGTCCCTGTGCACGGACATCGGGGTAAGAGACCCGTCGGACGGCCTCTTCCCGGCTTCCTTGTTAGGACTCTCAAGATGGCGGCACGACGCAGCCCCTGACTCGAGAGGCTGCTCGCAGTGGTGCAGGCCTCGGTCGCCCTGGTCGCGGAGCTGTTCCTTGCGCTGGCGTTCGTTTTTCCCATGGAGGAGACGCCCGGAGCAGCAGCGCGGCGCGGGGTAGCGCGCGCCCGCAGACGCTCGCGGCACCGAATTGGGCCGCAGCCCCGAGGACAGCGGCCTCGTGCGCAATCAACTTCTCCGCGCCCAGGAGAAGGTGCTGAGCTGCGACGCACTGCGGCGGGCAGCCGGCAGCCGCCTTGGCCACAGCATCGGCCAACCGGTTGGCCCTCCAGTCCACCGTTGTGACCGCAATGCCATCGGATCGACGAGCCGTGCCGACCACAGCAGCCGTGCCGTGTGTTGGCATCCATGTGAGCTTGCCTGACATAATCAGCCCAGAGACGTCGCCATCAAGGACGGTGGCCAGCCGTGACCAGACTTGGGCAAGCAGCCTCGTGGGCTTGGTAGCTTGCACCGTTCCAGCTATGGCCGCTGACAAGATCGAGCGGCAGTCCATGCGGATGGACGGCGGCACGATCGCGATAGACAGCACCAGGAGGACGGCCCAGAGCTCGGCAGCTGCCGCGGTCCGAATCCACGGCGGAGGCACAGCACTGCCATACGCGACGAGGTCCCCGTCGGCCGACACGACGACGATGGCGCAACCAGTGCGCCGCAATTCCCATTGCGGACCGTACTTCATGGACACGTCCGTGTACCAGCAGAAGTCCGTGCGGCTCTCGTCTGGCGGGCCAAGATGCCACCGGACGGCAACCTCCTCCTGCGGCACGGGCCGCGGCAGCCGGATAGCGAACAAACCTCCAGTCCGGAGAAAGTCAAGTCGGGCCTCCGGCAGCGACGAGACGAGGCGGTCGCACTCCTCGGGCGGGTAGAGGGAGGAGGCGGCGGCAGGAGGAGCCGGAGGCGTTGGACGACTGGGGGGTGCGGAGGGATGAGAGGTAGGGCGGAGGACCAATGAGGAAGAGGAGGAGGAGGAGGAGGAGAGGGAGGAGGAGGAGGCAGAATGGGGGACGAGGAGGGAGGAGCTGAGAGGAGTTGTGTTCGGAGCGGGCATCCAAACGCCGCGCGATGCATTATTGGGTCTTCGCTTGGCTGCCCCAGCCGCTGATTACGCATCCAGCGCGGTGCTGCGCCCGCATTGCCCAAGGAGCCTCGCCTCGAACGCTGTGTTGCGTGCAATTCAGTAGGTCCTTCTTGGACGTACCTTCAATTGTTTCTATTTTTGGGGGAAAGTCGGGCTCCATGGGTCCTGTTTTGCTTCCGACTTCTGGCTTCTGTTTTCGGTTTTCTGGTTATCAGTTTGCGGCTTCCTTGTCTGGCTTCCGTTTTCCAGTTTCGGGCTTCCGTTTTCTGGTTCCCGTTTTCTCTTTTGCGTTTTCCGGTTTCAAGTTTCCAGTTTCCAGTTTCTTGTTTCTGTTGTCCGGTTTCTGGTTTGGGATTTCGGATTTCCGGTTGTTTGGTTCCAGTCTTTGCCCAAGAAGTTCCAGCGTTTCTTGCTTTCCATTTTCCGTTTTCCAGTTTCCGGTTCGGGCTTTCGTCCGCAGATTCCCCAGTTTGTTCTTTATTATGTTTTCCGGTTTCCAATTCCGGTCCCGATTTGGGGAGTTGCTGTTATTGTTTTTGTTCCGCTATCCGGTTTCCGATTTCCGTTCTCGGTCCCTGCGCGGGCGGCTTCCCGCTATTCAGTTTTTGGTTTCCGCTTTCCGTCTTCCGCTTTCCGTTTTCCGGTTTGGGTTTCCGTTTTCCCCCCCGGCCGGCGGAACCATCCGGAAGTGATTTCTTTATCGCAGATTCTTCGAAAAGAATGCGCGCGGCGCGGAGGCGAGAGCCACATTTTTGACCCCCCCCGTCCATATTTTAAACTGCTGCGAACTTTCGCAAGATGAACGTATGCAACGCTGAGGCGAGAGTTCCGTTTTGAAAGTGACGCGCCTTCCATGAAATTGTTTCAAAATTCGAATTTCGGGAGCATCAGTTGTAATGAGGTCTCAGGCGAAACGCCCTGTCCGCCCTACGGACACGTCTTCGGGTGCGACAGGGAGGAGCCATCTGGAAGGAAAGCAGATGGAGAAGGAGGTGGAGAAGGACCAGAGAGAACCAAAGATGCATCAGCGGTGCTCCATAACCATTTTGGCTCAAGGTGACGCATCTGGTCCGTTTTCGCTACCACTCGGCCAGGTCAATGCGTACTGCGCGCGTTTCCGTGCCCATGCTCTCGGCTCTCCTGAGCTACCTCGACCTGCTTTTCCTGATTGGAGCCTGGCTAAGCCAATGGGGCTCGATCCTCACTCAGGTCTTCTGGGCGGCGGAGGCGCACTTCGAGTGGGGGAACGAGGCGGCGGCGCCGCCGTTTTGGCATGTCACCGTCTTTATCGGCCTCGTTGGAGTCGCAGTGACCAACGTACTTGGAGCCCGATACTTCTATCAGAGCGGTCGCCTCTTCCTCTCGGTGGTCGCCGCGCTCGACCTGGACACGCCGGTCCTCGTTGTAACACAAGGACGTGCGTATGCCGAGGGGGGGGCGCCCGACCTCAGGGGGCTTCGTCGCCGTAACGCGCTCTGGCGCGGGCTCCCCTGCGCAGCCATGTCCGTGTACGTCGCTCTCCGCGTCACCGCCCAAGAGGACATCTGCCAAATTGCACTCATTGCCAGACTGCAGAGTGACCCGAAGTTTCGCGGAGACTTCGAGACGCAATTCCCGAGCGGTAAACAGTTGGCTTTGATACGGAAGGTTACTTACGACGAGAATTTTGGCAAGTACTTGAAGAAAGTACTCGGGGACTCCAGGTGCCCGATCTCCAACGTGATTGTCGAGCCGTCAACGTCTTTCGATCGATATTTGGCTGTGAATGGCGTTCTCGCTGTCGACGCTGCAGACGTCCACCAGATGGAGTACAACTCTGCTTTTCAAGCGAGCTGGAGACCCTATGTGTTTGACTCTGCCTGGGCTGGAATTCGCAAATCCAGCTTGTACCCATTATCGAAGCTTGGAGGACTGACCAAGGGTGGCCTGGAAGCAATGGTTGGACGTGCAGAGACCAATAACTGGCAAGTACAGTGGGGCAGATCGAACAGAAAGCAGCTCGGTGTTTCTGTCGCAATTTATTCGGGCCGACACACGACATGGAAATTCTGGACTGCTGCACTGTAGTTGCTGAATGCGTGCCGAGGGCTCGGCAACCATGCTCGCGAGCACCGTCAGGTACTACCAATAACTACAGCGGCGTTGTTTCTCCACCTGTTCTTTGACGCCGTTCTTTCCATATGGTGTCTCTTGCTCGTTTTCTTTGTGATGCCATCGCAGCATCGTCTCGCCCTGCTCAAGGACTGGATTATTTAATCGCTTCGCTCATTCCGCCGGCCCTCGAGCGCTCTATGGGCCTCTTTGAAGCCTCTTGAGGGCCTCTTTGGGGCCTCCTAGGGGCCTCTTGGGGGCCTCTTGGGGGTCTCTTGGGGCTCCTTGGCGGCGTCTTGGGGCCCCCTTGGGCCTCTTGGGGGGCTCTTGGGGGCCTCTTGGGGCGGGGTAGGCCACAATCCTCGTGAGGGGTGTCGAAAAAAAGGCCCTCTAAACCATCTCTGAGTAGACCTTCCCGGGCTGCGGTCGGGGTACTTTTCGCCGGGGGACCCCCAGGGGCCGCCCCGCGCGCGCGAACTAGAAGAATTGTTAACCAGTTACGGGAGATCTTAGCACGCCTCTGGCCCGTTGGGCCGGCGAATTGAGATGCTTCCCTCGGTCCTCAACGGCGACCTTCCAGGGCAACTAATATCGGCTCTCCAGGAGTATCGCAGATTCACAGGCGAAGGGGACAGAGAAAGGGCTAACGTCATTGTCAACGAGGAAATCGCCCCCAAGCTGAGCGCAGTCACCGGGCCCCTCTATCGCGAGTTCGTCGATTTGCTCGTCGACCTCCACAGCCCCGGCATCGCCGACGAAACACGCCGTGCAGCGGGGATGGCGGCGGCCAGCGGCTTCATCTACGGAGTCACGCGGGGGATCCTGTCGGTTTTCGGGTTCGCAGGAGGCGTCGGCGCGCACGTTTTCTTCACCAGCCCCGTAGCCCTCCTGGGCGAGGAGCGTGCAAGCCCTGGGGCTCTTGTCATGCAGGTCGCTGTCAAGTCACTGGTGATGCTTGCTGCATGCGTGCTGGCGGCATGGGACTGGATAAGCTTCCGTCTCGCATTTGCGTTGATGACCAAGGTGTTCCTCACCCCGACCGTCTTCTGCGTGGTACTCGTTGCGTGTGCTGGCACGCATGCAACCACGGGCGTCATGTTTGCCCTCCACGCCGACCACGGGGGCCCCCTGCCGCAGAGCGATGTCAACGAGGAGGAGCTTCAGACATTCCCCTCTGAGCAAGGCTGCAGCGCCTGCACGGCGGACCGCAAGCCCCACAAGCGGACGGCCTCCGCGGAAACGGGGTCTGGCCGGGGCCCAGAGGCCGCTGGGTCAGGCGCCGCCGAACTACGGCGGCTGCTTGTCTGGTGTCGGGCCGGGGCTCCAGCGCTGAGGACCAGCGGAAAAGGGGCAGGCGAGCACCAGAATCAGAGGAAGCAAGAGGGGACAACGCAATTGTTTCATCTTGCACACATTCGTTGCCCTCGGACGTTGCTGTGTTCTTGCTCGCTGGAGCATTTAACACGTCTGCGGGACTACACTGTCAATGCCACGTTTTCCATAGGTTTTGCTGCGTTTCTCCTCTGAATGCACACCGCTTTGGGCGGCGGAGAGCTTGAGAGATCCATCCAACAAGTGTCGGATCTGCGACTGCCGCCGTGGACTGAGGAGTGGAGGAGAGAGGACGGAGGAGGCGGGAGGGGGGCCATTCGGCGTTTCACCCTGGACCCAGCAGCTCCGCCGCATGAGTTTTAACGTAGCACCCCGCAATTGCGGATAAGAGTGAGGGGGCGGGCGCGGGCGACACGGGCGTCGTCAAGCCGGCGGACCTCGTGGCCCCCACCTTCCTTGTCGATGGCGCTCTCCTCCTCCTCCTCCTCCTCCTCCTCCTCCTCCTCCTCCTCCTCCTTCTCCTCCTCAGGTTCCGTTCCCGCGCGGGCCCCCCCTTTCCCGTGGAGCCCCCTCAGAAGGAACGCGGGCCGTGATGGGGGCTGCCACGCCCGCGGGGCGGCGATGACGGCCAGTGTGCCCCCCCCGCGGGGGCAGGCGGGCGCGCCCTGTGTTCCTGCTGCGGGCGCTGCTGCTGCTGTCGCTGCAGGTGGGAGTCAGTGAGGCGAGGTTCACCTTCGTGGGAGTGTGGAACCCGCAGAACCTAGTGGCGGCGGCGCCTGGAGCAGGTGTCGGCGGCGCTGCGAGGAGTGGGAATAGTTGACCTCCCAGGCACGTGTGCCCGCCAGTGGTGGGCAGAGCCGCACCCCAAGACTGCACTTTGGATGGGAACGTTCGAGACTGGTGACAAAGAGCTGCGGGTGTGCCCTGTTCCTGTCCAAGCGCTTCTTTGGGCCTAATTCGATCAGGAAGTTGATTCCCGCTCCTCTTGGCCTGCGCGGTCGGGGGGGAGTCGCGTACATTGCCTCGGGCCCGCTGATGATTGCTGCACTTATTTTGTATTTTCCTCCGAGGCCATCTACTCCAGGCGCGGCCCCTGCTTGGCGAGACACTTGTCGGGCACTCGTGACATGGGCGAGAGAGCAACTACTGCAAGTACCACAGAGGTTCACCCCAATCATCCTGATGGACTTGAACGCGGGACTGACAGCCAAGGACGTGGAGGACCCAGTGGTTGGCGACTTTGGAGCTCCCTCATCCAATGTTGCGTCTCGCCTGGTATACGACTGGCTCCTGGCGTCGAAGATGAGAGCCGTCAACGCGACCCGCCCATTGTGCGACACCTACTTCGGCATGAAGGGCGCCAGCTCCCAGATCGACTACATATGCCTCCCATAGAGTGCACAGGTCCTGGCACAGTGGGTACAGAAGTAGAAACGCACGGCCGAGACCACGAGGGCCTTCGTCAATGTCCTGGACCACGTCCCCCTGGTTATGAAGCTGCAGGTCGTGGCCCCCGTCAACCTCACCCCGCTGCGCGAGCGGTGGGACCGCCCGAAGCTGGCGGGCCTGGTGATGAACGGCTCGGGCAGGGAGGAGTTCTTGGCCAGGATCGAGGTGGCTTTCGAGGATCTCAAGCAATCGCTTGATATCCTGGAGAGTAGAGACACAACCACAGGGCATGCGACGCTCATCCTGGGCACGCTGCGCGAAGTCGCCCTCGAGTGCTTTTTCCCGGGCCACGACCCGCCCCGACAACGAGCGCCAGCTGGACGAAAGAAAGTGGCAACTACTCAAACAGAGAAAGCAGCTCCTCACCGAGGTGACGGCGCAGGACGTTGAGCAGGCTGAGCACGACCTCTCGGCCGACGCGAAGAAGCTGGGGGACGCCATCCGCAACTACACTAAGGCGCTGCACTACTGGCGAAGACGACGGGACCGAGAGCGCCAGGCGTTCACCGAGACCGAACTGAGAGAAGCTTGGAAGCGCCGTGACATGGCGATGGTAGCTAAGGTGGCCCGCTCACTCGCTCGCACGGGCATCGGAGCGAAGAACAGGAACTAAAGGGCTCATCCAGCCTGCACCGCGACCAACGCCGACTGGAGCAACTTCCTGGGGCGGGACTCACTGGCAGGCGGGCTGGACGGCACTGTGGTTACGATTCCCTTATGCCACAACCTCGCGGCGGAGCGGTTGACTGACCTGAAGAATACCGATGGGTATGCCATTCCCGACAACTTCGACAATACAGAGGACATCGTCAAGCGAGGCGCACAGGATTTCAAGATGACGATCAAGGCCTTGAGGCGCACGCGCATCGGGAAATATGCACCTGCGCGGTCTGCGTCGGCGGGGATATACATGGTAATCGTGGACCCAGCGTGGCTCAGCAACCCCACCCTCTATGCCAACCAACACTGGGGAGCGGGTGCACGACCTGAATTGATCGTCGAAGACGAACCTCGACAGCCTGACCCCTATGATCGCCGTCAGCTGCGCCACCTCGAACAGCATGGGGAAGCTCGCCGTCGCTTCTTTCGCCTCGCCCTTCACATACGACGAGTCCGAAGGCCCCCTGCGCAGGCCTCGTTGAGCTGCGGCTTCACCCCAGACAAGACGAACGGCAAGGAGGGGGCAGCAGGACGACGATTGGTCCATGTTCCACGCCCGTACTGGCGAGCAGTTATCCGAGGAGGACTTCTACTTGGCATCCCGTTTCGGCCCCCTCCTTGGGCATTTGCGGCCCGAGGCCGCCGTCGGGGGCACCTCATGATGACGACGAGCATTGTCGCGTGGAAGGGCCACCAGGCGGGGGAGATTATGCTCTGCAAGTCGTGCGACGCCAGCAACGCATTCGGCCGCGGCAGGAAGCTGGACTTGGAGCTGGGAGTTCGTCAACGACTGGAGGAGGACGAGGATGTGGAGGACGCAGGCGTTTCGTTTGTGGCGGATTTGCCCCTTCAGCGTCGCCTTGCTCTCACCGTGATAGCGCCGGCATCCGATGGGGAGGTCGCAGCGCAGAGTGGGGCGGGCGGCTTCATGGGCGACGCATGAGAGCCTGAGATTTTCATGCAAAACTACCACGTGGCAGTACTGAAGTTGGCGGAGGTGGACAGACGAGCTACCGCCTGCCGCCCTATCCCGTGATCGACGCTTCCATCGGTGCCTTCATGGATGACACTTTCAAGACCCAACTACTCGAGCATGCCCAGACTTCTTTCGACATAGCGACGGCTTCGCAGCGGAGCGACCTGGGTCTCGACCAGGCCTTGGCCGCACGAGGGTACGGCCAGAACCGTGCCAAGCAGGACGTGGTGCCGACCTGCCCCTCTCGTCAGCTGGCGCGCGCAGCGATTCGAGACCTCCGCCAGAGCGGGCGTCGCAGCGGCTACGAGCTCAAGCACTTAGGAGCCTGGTTCAACGCGGTGAACAGCAACGCGAATGAATTACAGGCGAGACTGGCTGCAGTGAACAAAGGCTGGATGATGGTGCAGGGCTTCTGGCACTCCGCAGCTCCACTTCGTGTGAAGAGGCTCATGTTCTTATCATTGGTGCGTGGTGCGGCACTGTCTGGAACGGTGGCATTTTGCTGGACGGACAGCGAGACCCGACAACTTTGCGGGACCCTAGCTCGGAAACTACGCTCCATGATGGGGGGCGCGGTGACGACGATTGGGGGTACGCATGTGAAGACGATGACGACTCGTGAGGTGTATCGACATTGGAATTTGGTTCCCTTTGCAATCGAAGCGACTGTCCAACGACTGCGATCATGGCAAGCAGTGGCGCGTGCGCCACATAACCACGCCCATCTGGTTTCGATCTTCTTTGGTGTCATGCAGTGGGAGGCGACCTGCGAATATCGCTGCCCGCCCACACTGCGAGCCGACGGCACCCTGAACAACGACGCGGTCATCCATCCCTGGGCACGCCAGTTACGCCGAGACGTGGAGGTCATGTGCAGCTGCCCCGAAGCGGAGTCCTTCGTGGAAGCGTGGAGGAGTGGTGCGATGCTGGACCTCCTATGGGATGAGGAGGTGAATCACTTCTTCACCACCTTCGATCCGCGGTGCCTGCGCAGTGCCTTTTTCTGCAGTACAGTGGGCTTCGCCACCATCGCTGGCGGAGACTGTGCCGGCGTCCCAGGATGATGACCAGACGTGGGAAAAAAACGGATGCCGAAGTCTACACCTGTACCATTCGTGCTTCTCCAGATGGGCAGTCTTGTGGGTAAGTTTTTCGATCGCGTGCTGCACTTATAGCACATGTCTTTCAGTCACGACAACCAGGGCATGGGGGACAAAGCATATTCAATATACCCACGCCGAGCAACGCATGCATCAACTGCAACACGATATTCCAGAGCAGGGGGGAGCCGGTCAGGCACCTAGCACGATCAAGGCACGCAGGACGATGCATCATGAATAACGCAGTGTACCCATGCACATTCAAGCAGATGAACACGTACGAGTGCGCGCTGTGCCACATCACGTTTGCCAGGTACGACTCCCTCCGCTGCCATTTGTGCTCGCACCTGCCACCTACGCAGGAGGGCCGCGCCATGCCAGTAGTGCAACCGAGACCAGCACCTGCCCGGCCCATACTGAGGCCACGCCGTCGTGCCGCCTCGACGCCTGCGCCGACTGCTCGACCCCGTGGAAGTGAACTCCGCAGTGCAGCCAGCCTCTTTGTTCCTGCAGCTCCTGTGCGTGGAAGTCGAGAAGGCAGGCAGCCGGCGCCCCGTCCGTCTACAGGGCTCCTCGACACGGTCGCCGAATGGCGGGAAAGGCTCGCAGCCAGACGACGAGGAGAAGAGCCAGCAGGACCGCAAGCAGTTGAAGGGAGCGGGCGGAGCACGAGTCCAGGCTGGCGCAGCAGGCTCCGAAGGAGTCGCGTCGAAACCTCGAGTCCGACGAGGAGGGCGGCGCCGAGCGGCCCAGAAGGAGCGGAAGCTCGGAGTGAAGGACGCGGGCCTGAGGGAGTTCCCCCTCTTGCTCTCGATGCAGGTTGCGCAGCTGACCCAGAAGTCCAGGGCGATGTGGGGCATCACGACACGCACCATTCTGATCGAGGAAAAAGACTCAGTCGCGCAGGCCATGCAGAGCGAGTCGAGGGACTTCTCAGCAGCGGCGGCGGACTACCGATCAAAGGTCGCGGAGCTGAAGAAGGAGGCCAAAGAGGCCAAGGGCCAGGACAA